AGATCATGACCTGAGCTGAAGTTGGACGCTCAACTGACTGAGCCTCCCAGGTGCCCCCTCCCCCAGTATTTCTGCTTTTAGGCCATACCCAGGATTCATCTCCAACCAGGCGTCCAGCTGACTTGCTTTGGGTGCTTCTGGTCCAAACAGGACCTTGCCAGTTTCTGTGTGAGTCACTTTGACAGGGAGGTCACTCATCTGACTGCTTTCATCTATGGGCTAGAAAGGAGAAAAAAAAATACACATCACCGCTTGGTGTTCACACAGCCTCCCAATTCTGTGCTGGGCATTTCTCAGCCTTTTGGCTGCCCAGCATCTGAACCCTTTTTCTGTGAATGGAAAGTTCACCACCTATGGAATCCTGGCAGGAAGTGGAATACCACCTCCTACTGAAGAAGCTGAAAACACCAGCCTCTCTTACAGCAAGGCTACCAGTACAAGACCTCAGCTCCATCCACCGGACGCACTCACCAAGGCTCTGTATAGGGACCCAGAAGGCTGGGGAAGCCGGCAGGAACAGGCATGCTGGAGGGAGGGCAGAGCACAGCAAGTGGCCTTGTGGAGCTCCTGCCCGACTCCCAGCGTCAGCCATAGGTCTCGTTGTCGAGCTGTTCGGCTCAGCGCTGGCTATAGCCTTGAGGCATGTTCTCCGGGCTTTCTTGGAGATCCAATGAATTACCCAATATTCCATTAACATATTCTCTTCTCACTTAAATCTGGCAGGGTTGATTTTTGCCATTTGCAACTCAGAACCCTCAACCCCCAAATAATACTTCCCCAGATAACAACTATTGCAAAGTCATGGTTTCTGAGAAAACAGGAACAGAGAAAGGTACTGTCACCTCATGAGGGGCCAGTCTAAGCTTCTGCAGAACCAAATGGCCTGGCATCTAATGCAGCCACGGGTGCTAGGAGTAGGATTTTAAAGCAAAAAGCTCTGCTCATCTGAAACCTGGCGAACGGGCCAAGACTGAGCTGAAGTTCATTATTAGACTCTCAATGAAAAATGGCTTGCTCAGAAAATTAGGAGAAAAAAATGAAATTGCAGAGGCTGCATTCAACCTACTTCAGAGAGAACAAATTTTTTTAAGAGGCGTAAAAATGGAGTAATCCTATGCAAATGCGTGCAACTCATTACAGGGTGACGTCACCTCTAGGAGCAGACCCCCAGGCCAGACGTTGTTGGTTTGGAAATGCTTGATGTTTTAGGAGTCTTCAAGTTATCTATCTCCTTAAAGGTAATAAAATTCAATATTTAGAGAACTTACCAATTCCAAAGGATTTTTCCTAAATTGTTCTTAATTGAAGTTAAATATAAATGGTAGGAAAAACAGTATGCAGTAGCTTATCTTACGTATCTTTATAATAAATGACCAGAGGGGCGCCTGGGTGGCTCAGTTGGTTGAGCCTCCGACTTTGGCTCAGATCAGGATCTCACGGTTTGTGGGTCTGAGCCCCGCGTTGGGTTCTGTGCTGACAGCTCAAAGCCTGGAGCCTGCTTTGGATTCTGTGTCTCCCTCTCTCTCTCTGCCCCTCCCCCACGTGTGTTCTGTCTCTCTTGAAAATAAATAAACATTTAAAAAAATTTTTTAAAAAATGACCAGAAAAAAAAAGTTCTTTCTCCCTTCTCCTTTAAGAAAACACTGTAAGAATAAAAAACAATATATTATGATTATCAACCAAAATAAGCTTTAAAAAAAGAAAAGGATTACTCCAAACTGTCTTTTTTGTTTTTCTTTTATGTGTGCTAAAGCGATGCATGTGAACACCATTACTTTGCACACACGACGTTTCTTTCTCTTTAATGTGAAAGGTCATCTACACACCCATGTGATCAAGACCTACCAGTCGCTATCGCCTCCCTCGGAAAAGTCAGCTTACGTTACCTCGAACTATTATAATATAGCTTTTTCATTCTTATGTCATGCCTCAAAGAAAATTGGGAATCACTGTAGCTGGAATTAGATCTTTGGCAAAAAGCACTGAATGAGCACAGCAGAGTGTAAGAACATGATTTCAAAACAAACTGAGCAAGATGTCCACTTTGCCAACTTGAGCAAACAGAATACACATGTGTTGAGATTAAAAGAAAAAAAAAGGTGCATGTCACAAGCCCAAGATCAGTGGCTAATTTTCCCAAGAGATGATAAGAGGTAAGAGCATTGTCCTGCTAACGCGTTAAATCTCTCCCTGTGTGCTTGTTAGTTATAGACCCTTGTAAGGCATGCTCAGGTAAGGCTGGGGGCTATTACAAATCAGAGTGGTTTCTAAGTGCTCCAATATATGGTATTCTTCCCCTAGAATGGCCCACTGAGAGGGCCTTACACGTTAGACTCTTAACCCCATCCTTTCTTTCCCTGTGATAGATTACAGTGGTTAAGCCACATTTACTGTTCAAGAAGTTTCTGCGCAGAAAAGTGGTTTCAACCTTTTTCTCTGGATCCAGGATGTTCACATTCAGAGTAGGCCTCCCATGTACAGTGATTCTAGAAGGGTTCCCCAAACAGGTTTATCAGAATCCATGAGAGAAGACAGTTTGAAACATACTCCCTCCCATTCGGCTGTGGAGAGGGGTATGTATGCCTCCTCATGTGAATCACTGGCAGAGAACTTTGAGTTTTCAGAGAAAAAAAAGTCCAATAAATAAGTAATTGTGTTCTCATGATTCAGGAGAATTTTCAAAATCCTAGGAAATAACATTTAGGAATGTGCTGATGACTCCACACATAGAAGCCCTATCATAAACTTAACACACAATGTCAAAAAATAAGTTAACCAAATATGTAAATTGTTTATAGAGTTTCATAATTTCAAATTAGTAATACACTAAGGAAACTGGGTCATATTTTATGTTTCTGTATCATTTACTGGGGAAATGCAATTATACAATCACTTAAGGTTCTTACACACATGCTATACATTCATAAACATAGGTACACAGAAGATTCCAGAAGGTACACAAGAAACTTTGTCTGAGACGGAAGATGCCTTTCCAGTATATCCCTTTTATGCTATTCTAATTTTCAACTATGCTAATGTACTACTATTTTTACTTAGAGATGAATAGCTGAGTAAAAATAACGTTGGTATTCACAGAAAACGGTGCCGTAGGGCATGGTGGGGACTCACGGAGCAGAACAGAGCAGAAATGGGTGCAAAACGCCTCACCTCTCCGTCTGGTCCCAGGGCAGACTCTCCTCCCTCGGCAATCTCTTCGGCCTTCTGCAAAGCAAGGTCAAGATGTCAGGTGTACGTGAATCAAGAAGACGGTTACAAGAAGAACTTTGTGGCAGTGCTGTGGTATAAAAAAGCACTTCATCGCCACTCATCATCATCCAACAAAGCTTACGTGTTAATGCCTTTCATTTGTATTTCTCTTCGCTGTCTGAGACAACGTGTGTCTTTCACAGGCAGCTTGCGGGGAGTTACTGAAAGCCACATATGATTCAAGGCTGGCACACACCAAAGATTTGTGGTTCGAGTCTTCCAGGACCCAAAATGCTGAAGGTATGAGAACATCAGGGCTGAGGTCAGCACGTGGAATGTCCTTCCCCTGTTTGGCACTGGGAAGACAAATCCTGATGTAACTGGCTCCACGTTCCTTGGCAAGGTTTCTAAAAACGTCCATCACGAGAAAACTCGGAACCGCTCTTGGGTCATAAAAACACAGAATTGTACAACAATCCTGTGAGCTCTCTGGATGTTTTCCATTCAACCTAATCGGCTTTTCATAATACACAGTATTTCTACGGTGGGTACTAGGAGCAAATGTGATACAGATACTGTGATCTCATGACAAATTCCGTCACTTGCCATTTCTTAAATATTTCAATATCTTAGTCCATTAACCTCCATGTGCCTCAAAGACAGCCTAAATGAAAAGCGAGGATTATGTCACATTTGGGGCATACCCGAGAGAGTCTCATCTGCAATAAACACAGAAGAGTCTCAAATTTCTTACATTTATAACAACCTCTTTGACAAGGGAAATCTTTTCCATCACCTTTTCAGAATCCTTATTTGAAAGTTATTGCTGGAAAGCTATACTCTTCGTGTGTGAGGAAAAAAAAACCAAAAAACAACTTTAGTCATTTCCTTTATCAAGACATTTAAGAAAATGAGCTTTCCTCCCCTGGGCTCTTTAGTTAATTAAAAATATATATAATGATACAGAATCGATATTAACTCTACTCTGTTTACTTAAGGCATTGATTATATAATACATGTTTGCTTTCCATGAAAATAACTCAATTGTCTCTTGACAAAACAGCTTTGAGAGGCAATGTTCAAAATCCAACCCTTTGTCCATACTGAAGAAATGCAGATCCCATAAACGTTTGAAATTTTGGGGAAGTTCTTTCAAAATTGTCTTACAAGGAATACATGTATGTATGTATGCCAAAGCAAAGGGCATGAAAAAAAAAAAACTGCAGTGCTTCTACCAAAGAGCAGGAAATAAAATGCTCCCTTTGGTTATGATTTCCCAAGAATTTAATATTCTATGTATGCCGCCCCAACGTGAAAAACGTTTACACTCCAAAGGAGTGATGAGCGTCAAAAAAGACACCAGGCTCTATATCTTGGTGAAGGATATAGAGAACAATGGCAGAAAAGCCCAGAAAAGAAACCGCCCATGTGACCAGCCCCTAAGAGTTCCAATTTTGGAATTCTCGGGCACTACACTCAGGCGACTGTTTTAATTAATGGGAGAAAGTCAATTAATCCCACCATTCTTTCCATACAAATCAGAAATAAGCTACAAATTTGGCCAACAAAGAAAATCAAATGAGACAATGAATAAGCCAATTTCCAATATCTAGCGAGTGGAACTGGATCACCATTTCAATGAATAGTACATTAAAAAGCTTGAAGGACCATAAATAATAGAATCAAAACCATTCTAAAGGATACTCTTCTATGAATATGCTTTGACTAGCTAGAGTGTTATCTAAAAACTGCCTCACAATCAGGCCCGTCCTTTATTTTAAATCCTCTAAACTCATTTTAAAAATAATATCAAATTCAAGAGGCAATGTAAGATTAGATTTAAAAAATTTGGTTCTGGAATTAGACCACCAGTGTTTGAATCCCCAGCTCTGTCACTAAGAACAAGAGATCTGAGCTATGTGATCTTGAGCAAATCTCCGTCGTGCTTCCCTCTTCTGTAAAAAAGGGACAGTAACAGTCCCTCCCTCATGGGGCTGAGGCAGGAAAGGATCGCTATTTCAGTACGTACAATCCAGTGTTCCATTATATACTGTTATATACATATATACTCCTAGCATCAACCTCCACAACGCACAAGTTTCAATGACTGTCTGAAGACTATTCCTTTATGTCTGTGAGACTGGCTATAGCACTGCCTGAAACTGCTTCATAAGGTTCATCCCATGAAGTCAGGGATTTCTGTCTGTTTTGTCACACGTATATCCCCACACTGACAAGGGGTCTTGGCATGTAAAAGGTACTAAGTAAATATTTGGTAAAAGAAGGAAGGAAGGAAGGAAGGAAGGAAGGAAGGAAGGAAGGAAGGAAGGAAGGAAGGAAGGAAGGAAGGAAGACAAGCACCAAAAATAATAATAATAAAGAAGCATCCACTTAGCACACACTCAATGAATCATCATTATTGTAATTACATGCCAATGTATTTGCAAACCATAAAATTAGTTAAGAACACACACACAATTCCTCACAGAACTGGCACGCCCTGAATTTATACCCAATCCTGCTGCTATTACACAAGGTGGAAGCCAGGTGGCAGTCTACTCTATGGCAAGAGACAACACATTCTCCCATCATGCTTTGGATTCTTTCAGTTTGGTGATCTCTGGATCTCCCATGACACTGGTGCTTTATCTTGGCCGCCCACCCCCCACAAAAATAAATAAATAAATAAATAAATAAATAAATAAATAATCCCACAAAACATCCCTTTTCTTGGTTCAATGTTAACTCCAAACAGATTGCTCTTGGTGTTACCATGGTCTCCCACCAGTTGAGGAACCTTCATATACAGTTATCTCCATCACATGATTACAAACACATCCTACGTTACCAGCTGATGCCTGAGCTTTTTTTCCTCCATCAATTAAAAACAAAACAAAACAAAACAATCCTACAAAAAAACTACAAAAAAAACTACAACACTGTAGTTCATCCATTAACCAGGACTAAAAGGACCCTGTCTTGGCTTCTTCCAACCTGCAAAACGTTGGGGACAAATTATGCTTGCTGGAGGGAGGAAGGAGTGTAATTCACCTAGTGATGGAAGGGGGATACGGAACAAATTACTCACAACTAAAAACAATGTGGCTTCCCAATGCGCAAGGCCAATGGCAATTTAGAAATTCCACTTAGGAATGTTCACCAAGCTGTGTGCACTGCTACGTGTTTTCCTTGCAGAAGCTATGTGAGATAACTGGCGATGGGCGCAAAGAGGCCAAGGAATCCCTACACGTGAAAATCCTGTGTAAGCCCGCACCCAGGAAAATAAACTTCAGCGGGGCACTTCCTTCATATCACTACCCCAACACAGGCCACGAACGGCCTCGATCTGTAAATAAATGGTTTTCTACCAAATATTTCACAATTTTACAATTTGTATGATGAAGCGAATGCACTTTATCCCCCAGCAGGTGTTGTTACACTATGCTGAAACAACATTCAAGAGTGCTGGCATCTTACAGACTCATTCTGTTTCAGCGGAAACCTAAGCTTTCAGAAACCACTTGGGTTATTTTTACTGTCATTTAAGTGGACCTTTGAGCATTAAGATAGGTGATCAAGCAATAAAAAATACCCAAGAATATCAAATGAACAGGCAACTGCACATTACTGTGCTTGTACTCTGCAGAGAAAACCAACTCCAACATTTTTGACTCAAGTAACTGGTCAATCCAGTTAAGCAGGACTCTGATCCAAACTTCAGTTTTCACCCATTTTGATACTGAGCTAATCAAATTAATCTAATCACGCTGGCATTGCATACACCTACCTTGACCACAGTCCCTACACTCAGATGCCCAGAATTTCTTAGAACTTTTCTTTGACCTGTGAAATTGTCCTCGTGGGGGTACATCATCATCTTGGGGGGAGGGGGGAGAAACAGGAGAGACAGAAGAATTGAGAAGAAGTGGAGAGCGGCTTGAATTTAAAACAAGTGTCTCAACAATATCACTATACTTTTGCATCTGATGCCTCTTTTCACCAAAAACTATACCAACAGGTTTTTCTGATTTGTTGATATCTAAAAAGGATGAAAACACACTTCCTCTTACCATACTGACCAATGTGGTATGCTGTGCCAGAAACACTCCCCCTCCGATATGTCACGGTCCTGAGATTTACTCCTAACAGTGTCTTTTGAGAAAGAGAATTAAAGAACTTCTGGAAGGAAAACTGAACACTACGATAGAAAAGGTACTTGACCCAACAGTCCCCCATGGGATTTGGACGGTTCTCATTAGCATCTTGAGTTTCCAAGAAATGTCACAAATTAATAGCAAGGGTGTAGTTCTGTTGGTATACACGCCATCGAAAGACTTTGGAAGAGGGAATTAAATATTTATTTTTGGCCTGAAGTCAACAGCTCGGGAAGCTGAGCCTGTGAAACGACCGCGCGTCTTGACAGTAGGTTGGGTGAGGGAGGTCGGGGATGGCTGGCATGGGCTCCTGACCACAGCTGAAGGAGGAACTCTAAAGCCCTGCAAGGGCCACCTTATTACCACCAGGAACCACCGTAAATTAGAGGCTTCATGATTAAAAAATTCTCCTTGTAGGAGCTAGGGAGAGAGAGATAGGCAGGGTCCACCACAAAGAATAAATCTTCACTTCCTATACATGCCTCAACAGGCAAAGAACCTGTCACTGTCCTAAAAGCCATCTTACCTAATTGCTCCTAACTAAAATACATACATACATACATACATACATACATACATACATACATACATAAAGTAGCTATTTATTCTCTCGACATCACAGAGAACATACAGCATGGGGAAAGAGAAGATTTTATTTAAAAAAAAAAAAAACAACTATAACCACATTTCAACAATTACTATCCTACATTTATACTGCAAAATTGTTTCATAAAATAATTAATACTAACTGAGCACTTACTCTGTGCCAGGGTATACTCTAAATGCTTTTTTTTAAGTTTACTTATTTATTTTGAGACAGAGAGAGAGAGAGAGAGAGAGAGAGAGCAGGGGAGGGGCAGAAAGAGAGGGAGAGACGGAGAAAGAGAGAGAAAGAGAAAGAGACACAGAATCCCAAGCAGGCTCTGTGCTGTCAGGGCAGAGCCCAACACAGGGTTCAATCTCACAAACTCTGAGATCATGATCTGAGCAGAAATCAAGAGTCGGACACTCGGCCAACTGAGCTGCCCAGGGCCCCACTAAATGCTTTAGATACACTTTGCCATGTAATCCTATCACCTTCTTACAGATCCAGAGACTGAAGCACGAGGTAATAGGTCTTTTAATGAAATACTCTATAAGGGAATGAAAGCAAATTTGTACGAAATTTAAAAGTCTGCAGACTAATGTGATTTATTAGACAGTGGCTCAATTTTCTACTCCAGTATGCTCAATCCTATCTGTACACATCCTGGTGGCCTTATGTAGCCCCATGCCCTTTTATACCTTGTAGTCACCCAGCAGATGTTAAGAGAACGATCATGGCAGGGGACAGAGACCTCAAGGTCATGCAGAGTGCACATCAGAGTACGTTAATCTTGTCACACTGCAAAGACTGGTTTCACATAATTAGATATTTCCATACTTTACAAATTATGCCTCCTCTAACACCTAGGTAGATACATATATTTCGTTTCCTATTCCTCCACTTCAAGGGCATTAACGGAAGACCAGACCCACAGCGAGAAGCTCCAGAATGATTTATAAATGTTATACGTCACAGCAGCAGCTCTGATGGTGAGAAGAGAGAAGCAAACATGGTCAAGGCAGGTTAAAGAAAACCCACTCTCCTGTTTACCAATAGCAAGGAAACACAATAAACTCCACCAGAAAGAGAGAGAACTTCTCTGTTACATTGGGGCAGTTAAAAACAAATTGATCCCTTTCCATTTAAGTTACAAGGTCAACCACACTCATCTACAGGAGTGTAGATACAGTCAGCTGTAGCCAAGTGGTCCTATACCTGTTGCTATAGCACAATGTTCTTGGTCCACTGGGTAAAGAAGGCTTTCTCAAAATAAAGGCTTATTGATGCCTTACTTCATTAAAAACAAACGAATGAACAAACAAACCGCAGACAGTACAGCATAATACTGTTCTGTGGGAAAATGCTTTCTCAAAGGGTCAGCGCAGAACTTTTAAGCTTCAGGACACAGCCTTCCTTCCCAGCAGAGAAGCTGGAAGGAGCCATCTCAATCATTCACTCTAATGGAGGGAAGAAGAACTACAGATAATCCAAACTGTCAAATAATCAGCTTTTGAAAGCATCCATTTGCTTTGCACTTGAATAAAGGTGCATCTGCAATTGTGTAACTTGCTTTGAAAGAAGTCTCAAAGCCCCAGGAAAGAGACAGGTTTCAGGAAGGAGCCTAGTTTCTTTGTTTCCTCCATTATCCCATTTGTCCCAGCAAGATGGCCCCGGGAAAGACATACAGCAGGTCCTCCCCAGTCCTGCTGAGGGCAGGGTGTGCTCAAATGCTGAGCATCCTGACAGAGCACCGGGAAGGAGGCAGAGGGCTGATGATCAACTAATGGTTCTGCACATTCAATCGTGTGAGATAACCAGCCAGAGCCACCCAGAGATTCCCACCAGGCAGACAGGAGGGAGTTGCTTTGGTATCCATTATTCTTTTGCCAGGAAACCAGTCCCCACCCCCAATTTGACTCCTGGGGCTTCCTTTTCTGCATTCATCATGGTTTATCATTATGTACCTGGTTGCATATTTGATTAATGTCTACCTGCCTCTCGCTCTCTGATGGAACTGAGAAGGCACGTGTGCTTCTCCTTGCCATCGCCTTCTTTCTCCCCCAACGTGTAGCCCGCTGCCTAGCTTCAGTTGATACTCGTCAAACAAATAGATGAAAGAGAAAAGAATAAATGCTATCAGCAAACCTGAAGCTAAGAGTTTGGAAGTAGAGAGCCAATCTATAGATCATGCAAAGTTGGCAGCATCGTGAAAAATAGTGTGACAGGTTCCCGCTCTATACAGATTAACACAAAAATAAAGGCATAATCCCCATCACTCAGTTAGAGATCTTTCTTTGCCTACGATGATATAACAATCTAATACCATGGCAGGAATCCATTAATTATAAGCCAGAAGCTCAATTCGGGGACCCTTCAGCTTTTACATCACACACACACCAAGTAGAATTTGAATTTTACTGCTACGAACACCAACAGTGACCTTTTCCTGGCCACTTCTGCAAAACACAGCTCCGGACTGGGAAAAACGAAAACTGCCATTTCACGGGGTCCCCTTGTGGAATGTTACAGAATTCTTTCTACCTGTTTGCCCATGTGCCTTTCTCTGACTCTGAAAGCGTCTTTTGAAGTCAGAAACTGGGAGCTGGCATTCTGCAGAGTCTATAATGCCACCTTGACAAGAAAATGAGGGATCGCTCAACGACGAAATGTCTAAATCCAAGCCCTGAGTCATTGCGCGCTCTTCACAATGCGGGAAGCTATCTTCTACTAAAGAAGTCAGGTGTAAGAAGGCACCTTCTCAATCATTTATTCCTCCTCCTTAATTATGAAGCAGGGATGGGAATTCAGGAGCCATGAAATTAATTATTTTTTGAAAAACATTGCGTTCAATTATTCAGTGCACAGAATAAATGATTAAATGGCACCAATCTTCAATCCTCACAGCCCTGGCCGAGACTTCCTGTTTCTTGCTGGTGTGTGTGCCCAGGCCAATCAGGGTGTGCCGTGAAAACAAAACATGAACCAAGAACCAAATCACCAGACCACTCAGGATTCAGAGAGGATCTGTATTCACAGGTCTACACTGGCAGGTTGCCCTTGAATCGAGGTACAATATCTGCAGGGCAGAAATTCTAAATCTTACTCTTCACTTTCTGTGCAATATAATTAGGTTATATTGTACATAAAACTATTTACTGTTCTCTGTAATAACCTAAAACCCTGCCTTAGACACTCACCCTACTGTGACACCAGGGCAGCTGAACTGAATGAAGGAACCACTTTGACACTGTCTCTCGTTCAAACAAACAGACTGAAATCTGTTTCGAAAGTACCCCAAGGCCATCTCTTAACATCTTTCTCAGGCTCTTTCCATCTGTACTCTGCATTCCTTCTTAATTTTCATCGCCCTACCACACTGGCATTAAACTTAAGCAAATACTTCTGTGCCCTCACATCTTTCCCTTTTTGACTGACCGTATACACTTGATATTTCAACACTGTACGGAACCGTGAAAGTATGGACAGAACTGTTACGGTTTGGAACATCCTACTGGCTACACCCTCATCTCCGACCTGTGGTCTGGTGTGCCTCATCACCTCTTTGACACGGTGCCTGTTTTGGGTAAGCATTTTCTGCAACTCAAATACCTGAGTCTTCCACTAGGGCAGTAACGAGTAAATACACACACACACACACACACACACACACACACACACACACACATATGCATATATACATACATGTATATATGCATATATACATATTTTTTTAAGTTCTTTTATTTTTAAGAGACATAGAGAGACACAGCATGGGCAGGGGAGGGGCAGAGAGAGAGGGAGACACAGAATATGAAGCGGGCTCCAGGCTCTGGGTTGCCAATACAGAGCCCAACTCGGGGCTCGAACCCACGAACCGCAAGATCATGACCTGAGCTGAAGTCAGATGCTTAACCGACTGAGCCACCCAGGTGTCCCAGGAGAATGTATTAAAGGGCCCTGGGCTGGCTCCTGACCATACACTCCTCTCCTCTGACTCACTAGGGCGCTCACCTTCTTCCTCTTCCTCCTCTTCTTCTTCTCTTTGGCGGCCTGGGCTTGCTTGTGCTCCCAAACCAGGTTGGTCAGGTTGGCCACATACTCATCAGTCTGCTGCAAAAGGTAAGCTAAACGCCTGTCTTTCTTTTGATCAATCAGTTTTCTGTAGCCCTCTTCATCTTCAGCCTATTAAGGAAAGAAGAACACGGTCAGGGCGCCATAAAGATGGCAGACGACTCCATCTGCCACTCATCCACCCCCCTCATGGTCTGAACTCTGACCGGTGGTGAGTGCGGGCAACCTAAGGATCCAGGCTACGTGAGTTACGGCGCACAATCCGGGTCTGGGGTGCACTTGGGGGCGCCATGCCTGCGTCCCAGGACACGCGGGCTCGTAGCAGTCAGGACACCGAACCACACTACTTATGTGGTGCGAGCAAGTCCTCAAAGTCAGCTCTTTGCTCTTCTAAGGTTCTTTGTGCGCACGCGCACACACACACACACACACACACACAGATAAAATTTGAGAATCCGTCATCCAAAGTGTATCCTTAACTTTGTATTCTGGAAATTTTCAAAAACAACTGAAAGTAGAGAGGAGAGTATAATCTCTCATATCACCAACACCAAGCAACAGGAATTAACTCACGAGGACTCCCTTTTCACGGCTACCCTTCCCTCAAGTCCTCTCCCCAGTCCCAAGCTAGAGTGTCCTGAAGCAAATTCCAGACATAAGATCTGTTCATTCAGAAATAGTTCAGTAAGTATTTCTAATGGCAAAGACTCCGATGGACTGTAAGTGTAGTAAGTATAACTTCATATACGTAAAAGCATCACAAACACCGCGGCTGATAGGAAAAGTCAAATTCGGGGGAGTTTTGTCACTGACAGGCACGGCGCGACGGGCCTACGTGACTAGAGGCGAGTCATTTAGCACCTGGAGTCTGATACTGCTGGGTAATAAAACAGGTACAGTAATTTCCGACTCTACCTCCCATTAAGCAACATTATGAGGTTAAATGCAATAAAAACTCTGATGTACTCTGGGCCATTTCAAGAGAAATCTCTTTTATGCATCCCAATAAAAAGGACAGCTCAAAATATTTTCCTCGTGTGACGTGCAGGATAAAAAGGGACATACCACAAAATCTTCCACTCTGCGGAAAAGCTGGGGATCTTTGGTCCAGGGGCACCACTCCAGCATGTGCCCGAGTGACAGCCGTTTTATAACCCAGTCTAGCTGCTGTCTGCCCCGTGGATGAGTGTGAACCTCAAATGCTATTATAACTCTAATTGCTTTTGGTTATGGTTGATCTCACTTGAAGAAAGAGTGATAAAAACTGCAGTTTCCCTGTTATCTGTATATTCCATCATTTAATTGCAAAAATTAATGATTTGCAAATGCCTAATCATTAGTGTCAAACCAATCTGTTACTGAAGTTCTAATATAGTTTCACTCCAGTTGAATCAGACAAATTTTGACCGCTTACTGTTCAAATTACTATAAAGCAGCCTCCTTGGCTAGTTAGAAATCTCATGGACAGTCGTCTCCTTCCCGAACAAGCAGAGGGAGGTTGGAGGAGATCTAAGGTTTAGTAATACCTGGAAACAGGGCTCTTTAAAACATGGTGTTTAGTCTCTGGAATCCACAAAATTAGTGGGGAAAAAAAATTCAAACCATAATAACACCAAGAAAGGCCTTGTCACTTGGAATTTTCCAGGTTCGTAATTATGGGCCAAGGCTAATGATTTTATCTCCATCCTATTCTCAGGCATTATGTCCCAGGTACAATTTGCAGGTCTCGTATCATTATAGATCACACACACTTTTAAAATTCCATGGTGTGCTCCGAGGTCCAATTCCAAAAATAAATGGTCAATAAAACCAAACACCCTGGCCAATGATGTAAACCAATCCCTTCTGTATTTATATATCCATTAAAAAATAATAGCATAAATGTAATGACCCGTGGGTAGCCTTTGACAATAACACAGCTATAACCAAAAACGCAACATTTCAAAATTAACTTAAAAATCACTTTTTATACTGCTAGGGAGAAATTTCTATCATTAAAAAAAAAAAGGATAACACCAGAGGCTTCAAAAAAACAGACCTTCTTCGAGTCCAAGATATAACTTCATGACACATTCATGCAAAGCAACCTGTATCATGAGTCTCAAAGACGCAAAATTTTACAAAGGACGATCTGGTTGTTAAATACAACTCCTGAAAGCTGCACGACCCGCCTTTATGTGAGAAGCTATAATCTGAACAGCAATGCTGCCCCAGGACAGGCAAGTACTCGACTCATCAGCCGTGGTCCTGGATTCGTGGTATGTGCTGTCCAGGAAAGAGAAGATGTTCCTACTCCATCCATACGAGGTTCAAAGGAGCGTGTTAACATGTTTGAGAAGCCGCTTTTACTCACCCCCTGCTATAGCATATTTACCATTCTCAATACGGGTGCCTGTGAGGACCCCCATTTCCCGGGGTCCCTGCAGGCGAGCGAGCCCCTTACCATCAGTCTTCGCATTCTCTCCTTTTCGATACGCTCCGTCTCTTTTTTCTGCTCTCTTTCCGTGTTGGCGTGCCAAGTTGCCACTGCTTTGGACAGCTTCTGGATCTTCCCGGCCACAGACCGATGGTATTCCTTAAAATCTTTTGCATGCTGCAAAATACTGTTCAGGTACTCCTACAGGATCCAAAGGGAGGAGAAAAGGATACTCAAAGTCTATTTCCCATGAGGTTTCAGCGTAGCCCAAGAAAGCACACACTTTGGCTTCATGAGAGTGGACGATTAGAATCTTCTGGGGACAGGTGCCCTGGGATGTCTCCTGGCAGCTGAGCTGTGGGCTATGGGGCTGGTGAAAAAGGCTCTCAAAGTTTGTTTGGGCGCCAGTGTGTGGAAGCGAAACCTCTGAGGCCTCAAAAAATACGGCCCCATGGAAATGGCAGGATCAAGGATTGGCAGAAGCATGCAAAACAGCAGGCATGAAATGTAAAGCACATCACCCTCAAATAAACCCAAGGGAGGCGGGTATTTTCAGTGAGAACCAGGTTATCAAAGTCATGCCTCTTCTGCTCTAACTTAAACGCCTTAGAACCGTGACTTGAAATAAGATGAGGAGCCACGCAAATCGCCGCCCAGAATTCAGATCTACTTTTGAAATACGGGAGGAGACACGTGTACCAACGAATATCTAACATTTATTTTTCCAAATGAAACGAAGCTGGGGCATTAAATCGAGCACCAGAAAACAAACACAATTTACAGGGCTTCTAATGCAAAATCAAATCCTGCATCAAAAATATTTCCAACCCCCTAGGAAGGAACATTTTAAAATATCTGCCCCAGGGTGCCCGGATGGCTCAGTGGGTTAAGTGTCCAACTTCAGCTCAGGTCATGATCTCACAGTTTGTGAGATGTGAGCCCCACGTCGGGCTTTATGCTGGCAGCTCAGAGCCTGGAGCCTGCTTCGCATTCTGTGTTTCTCCCTCTCTCTACCCCTCCCTGGCTTGCGCTGTTTCACTCTCTCTCTCTCAAAAATAAATAAATGCTAAAAAAATTTTTTTTTTTTAAATCTGCCCCTATGAAACCTCCAACGGGGCCCCAGAAAAGCCCAGGAGGCTGTATTCACATTCGTTATAAAAATAACTGTTTTGGGGAGCCTGGGTGGCTTGTCAGTTAAGCCTCAGACTTCGGCTCTGGTCATGATCTCACAGTTTGTAGGTTTGAGCCCCGCATCGGGCTCTGTGTTGACAGCTCAGAGCCTGGAGCCTGCTTTGGATTCTGTGTCTCCCTCTCTGTCTGCCCCTCCCCCACTCACACTCTGTGTCTCACTCTCAAAAAATAAATAAGAAATTTAAAAAAAAAAAAAAACAAAAACTGTTTTGCTCTCTTCATTTCTTTTCCAGGCCATCCGGGTGGCAGCTGGCCGTGGGATTATGCAGAAGACACCTGCCTGGAATTCAGAAAGCAGGGTCCTCCACTGAACCCCTCACAGTCCCATGGACAGGCCACCCACTTCCCTAGCCTGGCCTGTCTCACATGGGGCAGCTGGAACACGAGAGTTGCAAGGGACCTTTCTGTTCTCATGGTTTGTCCCCACCGCCCTCGCCAGTACATTTCTCAGTCCTTCTGAGTCCACCTGAGGGCTCAGTCAGGCATGTCCGTCAACGTAGGGCCACACAGTCCACACCCCAATACCTGGTGCTTCTGTCGACGCTTCCTTTCCTGCTCAATCTTCTGCTGCTTCTCCAGTTTCTCCGTCATGCGGGCCTCCCTCAGGGTCTGGCGCTTGCTCCGTTTGTATGCTTTGGAGTTGAGGGCCGTCTCCAGGGTTGTGTCTCGTCGCATGCAGGCCACCACCTCTTGTCTCAGCTGTCAAGGTCAAGGGGGGAGCGGGGAGCCGTTGGGAGAGCTTCCCCAAACAGAGGCCTGGCTCCTGGACAGCCTCCACTGCCCTGCTCCCCGTTGGTGGGGCACAATGGGGTCTCTACAAGGTTCTCCATCGGAGTTGGCCTTGTTTTTTGTAAGTGAAGGGACTAAATTGTGCCAAATCCACGCAGCATTTTCAAAGACGGTAAAAGTGTTCTTTCCAAGTAATTCAGATTAAAAACAAAAACAGAAACTTACAGCACTGTAACACTAACAAAAACACTAACCAAAACCTGTCTTGGGTGTTCAATAAATTAATTCATTCTGTTTAATTATTCTAATGGTATTAATTAGCTAATGAGCTTCTGAAATATTTTACTTCATTTTAAGTGCCATACTAACATTCTCTTTGTGTCTAAAGATGGACTTTAATGATGCTCTGCAAAAAACAGTAGAAACATTACTTCTTGTTCATGCACAGTAGCAGCAGGTACTCAAACAATATTAATTCAATGTTAATTTTCATATGAAAAATGGGAAATACGGGCTTTGGCTTCCCCCACTCCCAACGATGATATTCTTTCCAAGATATTTAAATTTCACACTAGATCGGGGACTTCTTTTTAGATGATCATAAACGTAGTGTCTTATCCATGTTGTACGTTATGTGGTAGCAGCCGGGGTGGTGGGGGTGGGGGAAGGATTGGGCATATACGTTAAAATAACAATCTAACTGAATCTCAAATCAGCATCAACTATAGTTAATTCACTGGGAAAATTTCATAGAGGGTGGACTTTTCTACACCATCAAGCAAAAAAATCAGAGACTGGTAAGAGTCCAGCACAGAGAAGCAAATCTGAATATAATCTTATTTTGTGAAGATATATTCGGTTATTAATCATTTTCACAAAATTTTAGCAAGCACTTCATGAAGTGCGTTTCGTGACGTCCCGTATAGGAAAGGAAGAAAATGGCATTCAGGGCCTTTTATTTTCTTTCTTTTAGAATTTCAGCTGAAAGCTACTCTCACAAAGCTATGGCCAAGGAGCACCCTGTCACCAAGACACCCTCCTGCGACATTATAACCCATAGGGCAAATGTACTCCCAACCGAGTTCCTATGACAGTAGCAAGTGGGGTGCCTTTGTGATTTTAGTCACATCCCGCTACAGACTGAGTCATGCAATTCAATACTTCCAAACCACTTTCATTCATTAATAATTCATTTTGCACGCCCCGAGACCTTCACCAAGTAAACCCACCTGCCTGGCAAGCATGCGTCCCTTCTCCCCTTTGGCTAAACGAGGCAGGGTGTGGACCAGGAGACCTGCACCTTTTGGGTCCACAGAGCAAAACTCACCAACGTAAAACTATCTCTACTTCATTTCACTAGTCTCCTACAGACTCGGCAGTTATAAAACAGATCACCATGCTAGCTTTTATTAATCAGTCACTACTAAGAACCACAGCAAGAACACTAGGTAACAGTCCACTGATTAGTCAATACGTGGGCCTGATGTGGTCAAATGCTTCAAACTTAGGCTCCGATGAATAATCAGCCGTTAGAAAACAGTGCTATGTATTTCTACAAATGAGGGGCTATCAATTCAGCAGAGGAGAATTCGGAATGGCTAGGATTTTACATTTGTGTTTACAAAGAGACTCTGATCGACCCCCTTCTATCTTTTTCTTTGGAGTCATAAAAGCAAGCTAAACCATTTATTCTCAAGGTTTCATCCATGGTAACAAAATGCCATTACTCTGACTTTGGAAACCGTAATATAGGAGAAAAAAAAAAATGACTCTGATATACAGAAGAAAAAAAGTAGGATAATAAACAATTCATCTTCATTACTTTTGGCTCTATGCTGCTGGTTGGAAATACACACTAGTTTTACTAAGTTTGTATCTTTATAACAATATTGAAAAGACTTCCGCTTATTTCCTTCAACTCGGATTCGCTGGGGAAAAGGTATTACCTGACGCTGGAAATTGAGTAAGCGAAGCGCTTTCAGCTCCACAGTTGCTTTGGTTCGTAAATCTGGTGGCAGAGAGCCAGGCAGATTTTCCAGTTCTTGGATCCTATGAGCTATGCGAGCCTGGAGTCTAAAGGAGATAAGGAAATGGGGGGAGGGGGAGGCGGAAATATACATTACAACGGAGTCTTGAATGATAAACAGTAACCCTCAGGTTTAAGTTCTGGCAAAACATATCCCGGATCTTGCTGTCGGCGAATTCCTGATGCCCAGCTGGATTATCTGATGTTAAACGGAGAAGAGCGACCTCTGCATTGACGCGGACAGGCGCCGTATGTTGCTCAACACTCTGGCCTTCTTCACAACGTCTCTCTCTCTCGAACACCCAGAAAGGAAGACTCAGGATACATCTAGGAAGGCAGTCCAGTGCCATGACTTGCTTCAGACAGAGAGAACATGAGAGACAGGACAATGTGATTTGCTCCCAAATGCCCAGGCAGCCAGAGTGCAGAGCTGAGACAACAGAGTTTTCTTTCTGACTTCCAGTTCCGTCCTAGGCAACCAGGCCATGTGCCCTCTTTGCCAAGATGCTGATGACAACAGCCGTTGAAGCTGAGTGAACAAGAGCACTTTTAGGTGCTGAGGCCACAGAAATCAACCAACCCAAAACATTCACGGAGGGAGCCTGCCAACCACGACCACTTCCTCTCTGAGCAGTGCTTGTGTGAGAAAAGGCAAAGTAGGCATTGTTAAAAATCAGGTTTGGGGTAGCGGGAGATGGTAAAGTAACAGTATTTAAAAACTACGTTTCTAGAAAAAGGGTTGCTAGAGATTCTCATCTCCGACATCATCAGGAATATAACTGCAGGTCATTCTTCAAAATAAAGGCAGAAGAGAAAACAAAACATACCCCACTTTCTTCATTCGGCCGGGATACTTTTACTGTGACCCCATACAAACTGGCTTCAGATTTCGCCTGGATCCTATTCTTACAAATAATTGCATGCCATTTAAAATCTATTTTTAGAACTACCTCCCTCCAAACTTGGGGCAGAAGTGTCTTGGAAAAGATTTCATGAAGAATAGTAAAAGGTAGTAAGTTAAATTAACATTAACTGTGCTAAGGTGTATTTAAGGTAGAACTTTCTTCAATTCTTTCTCCCTCCCTCCTTTGCACGTACTCACTCTCTCTATCTCTCACACACACACACACACACACACACACACACACACACACGCACACACACATGCATGCACCCCTACAAGGTAAATGCTATAGAGGTGCCATCTTACTGATGAGAAAACTGAGGTTTGGAGACAGTAAGAAACACGCAAACTTCACAGAACTAGTAAAGGAGGGAGCCCGGACAGGAGCCTCATTCGCCTGACACCTGCAGGGACACCGCAGGCAATTAACACACACTTTCTGACTGCAGCTTTCCTGGACCTCAACTATAAAAGCTGATAATTAAAGATTCTTTTAAAAACTCGTATCATGCGAGGTGTCTGGCTGGCTCAGTCGGTGGAGCGTGTGACCCTTGATCTCAGGGTTGTGAGTTCTAGCCCTGAGCTGGGTATAGAGATTACTTAAAAAATAAAATCTTTAAAAATATTAATAATAAATGACTAAATAAATACAAATCTGTATTATGGTTTTGTCGACCTTTACGATGCTCTGTGTGCGTCAACATGAAAAAGTACAATCTCTGAGCGAGGGGCCACAAAATTATCTTACTACTTCAGTTAGCCCAAATATCAAAAACTGAGTGCTTTTAAAAACCAAACCAAACCAAAAAAACGTACAGAACTTGCAACTGTTTGCTTTGGTAGAGAAGTAAAATGCCATCTTTTTCAAAACTTTAAAAAATGACAGTAAGGGAAGCACATCATTTTTTCATTGACTTTGCTGGAAACAATATCCTGACAGATTCCTATTTTATTTGGTACATACGTGTTATTAATTCTGATTTACTGAACGATTTGATGGCAGAACATGCTATTATTGGCGCTGTCCGTGTTATCATGCTGTTTTTCTCAGCCCTCTGTACTAACACAAGCAAACAGGCCCTTAAACGGCTTATGCATGCAGCAGAATAAACACTTGTGAGTTCAAATGACGGTAAGAAACTTCCACCATTTTTGAAATAAAAAAAAGAACACTTACAAATTTTAAATAATAGAAAAATAAACAAACTTCCACATTGTATTCTTTTGGCCAGACTGCCCCACCTCACCCACTGTTCTTTTGCATTCCTATTACTACTGATACTCATGGGATTTTCATCAGAGTTGCTTTCTTTTTTTTTTTTAATTTTCACCGTATGGAACAAAGATCCATTTCCTTTGTCCAATTCAATTTCTTAAATATTCACATTGCCAAAAATCTCTAACTATGGCCAGAGATGGTACATCTTAACTACGACATTAAGAGAAAAAAAAAACCTGTTATAGTGTGTTTTTTTTCAAATATTTAATTTAAATAGGAAAAAACAAAACAAAAGAAAACTAAGCCAAAACAGCTTTACTCATGTCGAGTGAAGGCCACAGTATAGGAGAATTAAATATCACAGGGAGGTAGATGAGAGTCAGTGAGTTAGTTAGGCTACTTCCTCGGTTCTAGATTTACCACAAACTTTTGTTTGTTTGTTTGTCTGTTTGTTTGTTTGTTTGTTTCATGTGAATACCTCGGAAATTCAACCATCTCTTGGTGTTTGGGCTTACTTTGTCTGACCAAATGGGTCAAGTGAGAAATCAGAGGCATAGCTGCTTTTTCTTCATCTTCTAAAGGTCTATGGAATTAGGACGAAATAAATAATCTTAGGACAACTGGGCTGAGAGTACAGAGATTAATTCCCCCGATGGGAGTGGGAGATGTAGGGATGTGGAGAGGCAGGGACGGGGGCAGATGTAGCCTCAGAGTCTGTGGGGAGCAGTGGGGGGCACTGCTTCCCAAAATATCTGCATCTCCCAAGGGCCTAGTAATTTGTCAAGGAATCTCAGATTCCCCAACACAAAAGAATCTTTCTTTTATGAGAGGGAGGTGGAAAGTGCAAAGTGCCATCGTGCAAAACTACAGAAGAGGAAAGGTAGGTTCCGCGGTAAAATTACATGCATTGAATTCCGCACATGGTGGGTGGGTAGCGAGGGTACAGGAGGGGCTGCTTTAACGTAGAAAATTTTATTTCTTTGTGGTGGTGGTCGCCGTTGTTAATAGAAATCTTCATTTTAAATAATGCTCCTCGCCAGACAATTTCATCTTCCCATCAATGGAATTCAGCAGGTAGTCCAATAAAGAGATTCAGGATTCTAAACTTCCCGAAACAACAACACATGTAATACTGTATAACTGCGGGAGACTCATTTGGTGTCCTCACGAGTACAGAAAATTGAAGCAGAATTAGGTCACTCAGGTTTTTCATACAGATTGAACAGTAAATCAAGAGGGGTTACTGTTCCAGCAAGAAAAAGAGTTCCATTAAAGGTAACAGATATTTGTTCAGGTCCAGAGGAGAAGTTTATGATTCCTGTAGGAGAGTTATTTGAACAGAAAATGACACTGGTACATTTTGTTCCTTCAAGGAGCTGAGTGACACTTTAAAAAGGGGGGGGGAGAGAGAGGGGAGAGGGTGGGGGAAAATGACTTTTCGTAACTCTGCTGATCAAACAGCCCTTGGTAATTTTTGAGAAGGAGTTTCAGGGTTGCAGTGGGGATCAGGGAAGGACAAAAAACACGCTTGCATCCTGAAGCAAGGTGTGCTACTATTTTCATACTGAATTTGAAATTAATGCCAAAGAGGGCTGGCGTGTTTCAAAGGGGAGCTTCTCAAATAAACTCCTTTGAATGTGAAATGCATCTTCCGTGAAAACGCTTGTGGAATCCATTCATTTACACACTAACGTGACAACTGGAGCGCTTTTGCCCGAAAATCGAACTCAGGATGGGAGAAGTGAAGTCAGGTATACTGACAGGGCAAGAGAAGCGTGCTGGAAAGACCACCACCACCACCAACAACAACAGCAAGAACAAACTGGAACTCTCTCTCTGACGCTTAACTACAGAAAAAGGCACTGAGTTTCATCAGTAAGAGAAAGATGGTCAAAAAAGAAAGGATACAATTTAGATGGGAACAAAATGTTTTCACCGCAGACTGCACAGATTTGAGGCAAAGTGTTCAGGCGCAGAAACTTATTTATGCTGTTGTTGAATCAAGAAGGTCAGTTTGTCAAGATTCTGCTTTTATGATGAGCAAGAGAAACAGCCAAGCGACTTAAAAGTCAAAAAGAAATTTGAGATTCTGACAACTTCCTTTCAATTTTCACAGACAAGGTAAGTGATATTACCATGGTCAAAGACATGAACATCTGTTAAAGAAATTCTGACAGATGATTTCTTTGCTCCAACTAAGTACATAAAATTATAAAGGAGATATCTATCTATCTATTGATATCTTTTACACCTTGCTCAAATAATCAATCAGATGGTTTTTGCTCCAATTAAGTACATAAATTATAAAACAAATATATGTATACATATATTACATGTACACATACATGTACATATACATATATATACACATACACATATATACACACACACATATATCTACATACTTTAGACCTTGCTCAAATACTTGATCAGAAGGTAAAGATACACAGGACCTTTCCAGCTACTAGTGCTAAAGACCAGGAAGCCATTCTCTCAAAGAGGAGCAAAAGGCAAAGTTGCTTAGCTGTCTCTTACAAGAGCCTAAGGCACTCGATCTAACCCCTTCTGAAGGATAAAGTTAACTCCTCTCTGCAGCTGAACCATTTATCTCCAGATGGGGAAGCCAGCCATCGCTCTCTAATTAAAGAAGATACAAGATGCCCTGTGATGTTGCCAGGAGAAACCCGTGCTCTTTCTCAAGACGGCCATGGGAAAGTTCAGCCCCAAGACCCCACCTGCTTTTCAGACCCAGAGTTGCCAGAGCAATCATTCCGGAAGCCACGCATCTTTACGAAAGAGGAGACATTTCATCAAGTAACGATAATAATATTAAAAATAGCCATGCCACCACATTCTGCTTATAATTTAAAAGATCCCGACTCATGTATTTTTTTCTTATTGATACGGGACTGGAGGACCAAAGCTTTTCACACACTGGAATAGGCTACATAGTCCTACTTAGTACTGTATACTTTGGGAGGCCATCCAAGGGTGCTAAAAATGGGGCTCATGACAAGAAAGTACTGCAAATACAGTTCTGGTAAAAATGAAGAAAACTTAGGAGTCAGTAAAATGCACATACACCTGCCTGCCTCCCCCCAACCCCCCGCCCCGCACAACACAGGCTGAACAAGGAGAAAAGTCCAGATGTATTTCTAGGTAGAGAGAGTGTCTATGTTATGAATGTAGTTCACATGACGTAGTAACAATACAGGTATATTCGAGGTAAGGACAAAAAAAAGTTAGTTCTTTGGAAGTCAGAATTTTAGAGTAACTAAACAATACCCCTCGGTGCTACTTACTGCCTTTTTAAAAAATACTTTTGACTTTTTTTTTTTTTTATTCAGTAGTGATGTAAAGAAAGTACCGCATATGAATAAAGCTTCTGCCCCAGACAGGAACCTAGTGCTAATATGTGACTTTGTACCGCACAGTGATCTGCCTGTCAACACTACAATACCAACTGATGATGTGTATGTAGCTCTCTAGGGATACATAAAATTTAGGAAACAGCAATACAAAAGCTCTTTGTTGAGGATTAGTAATAGTACAGAGAGGAAAGTTTTGCTCTTCATCCAAAAAGGTACACACATTTACGGGCAAGTTACTGTGATTTCTTTCACAGTTAACTACCAAAGCTGGTAACTCAGTGTTTTAATCTAGTAACACATAAGTCATGTGTTTTTCAATAAAGACTAAGGTGATGTCTTTAAAGGGAAGCTAGATGTTATTTACTGACCTTCCCTTACAATTTCTTTGAAATTAAATAATAATTGGGAAATAATCATAGCTGATATGTACTGAAAGTCTTTGTATCATTTAATCTCCCCCCCTACAAGAGGTACTATAACACCTTCTTTTAACAGATGTGGAAACTGAGTCACGGAAAAGAGATGTAACTTCACCAAGGTAACACAGCTGGTAAGTGACAGAACACTCCCGGACTCTCTTTTTGGTTAACATTAAGTATTTACATCAAGGGTCCGCTAACTCCAGCCTGTGGGCCAAATCCTTTCCACAGCCTGTTTCTGTAAATAAAGTTTTACTGGAACACAGCCAGCCCATTATTGTCTGTGGATGCTCTTAGCAGAGCTGAGAGGCCTTTGCCACAGTCCTGAAAAGGGTAAAGTTGTAATCATCCCGCCGTTTGCAGAAAAGGTTTGCCCACTACTGATTCAGATAAATGTGCCAAATCAGGTGAAAATTAGGTTTCTGGAACGAAGAGTTTAAAGAAGGACCCCACACGAAGACACTTCTATCGGGCTTACCACTAAGGCTGGGCCAAGCTGTAGACCCACAAATGCATGCATTAAAACAAAGAATATATTACAGTGAGCCACTATGTAGGCTTTAGTAGCATGAGACCAGCTCGAAGCCATCATTCAAGGATAAACTGAGAGACACCATGCACAGATAGGCCAAGTATGACGGGTCTGCTTTCTTGCATCCACAGGCACTCCTGGCTGGACTTTGATCTTTGCATCCCTCGTGCCCGACACAGTGCCTGGCATGTCATGGCGGGTGATGACAGCTTTCCGGACTCAGTGAATGACACTCACCGTCCTGAGAACCCAGAGGCCCCCCTCCTGCCACCGCTATGGCAAACAAACCCTTGTTCAAGGACATTCTTCCCGCAGCCTGAGTTTTGGCCTGTGCCTTGTCCCATTGGGAAGCATGCCCACCACACCAGCGGTCCACACACCC